TACGTTTTTATGGTGTACAATAGAATGTAAATAAACATCTCCATCGTAGACCGTATCATCGCTTATCATCAGGTGAGATAGTGGTCAAACGTCGGCCTATCAAATTTGTATAAAAAATATATTCGTCCGCCAAAGCAATCTTCCTACAGACATAAAAAGTCGTTTACCACAAACTATTCCTGTCATTTTCTAATCCATTCGACCAATAACCGAACATATCCTGTTCCTGATCGAGTTTAATATTTGGTGGATCCCAACAAGCATAGTCTCAATTAAAATCACTAGTTAAACGATGACAAAGCGGCCCTTCAGCACGTGTGCTCACTCAACGAGGCTGAATTTAATTCAGAGGAGTAGTCTATACATATGGCCGTATTCTGAATACTCGATTTATAGTTAAACTGACTTCTGCAAGCAGCTTTGTTTTAATTTTTTAATTTGTTTTTATTTATATAAAATCTTACCTAAACTTACATGACAGATCTCTCAATTGCGATAGCTAACTAAATGTATGTTACGTCCAAACATAATGAACTCATAAAGAAAAACAAAAAGACACAAATTCCTTGCTAACTAAACTCAATAATCGAAAATGGTAAAATACAAATAAAAATAGATATTACAAAACATAGAAAAAAGACAATTACTTTGTTAAGTTAAATAAACTTATACATATACAACATACTTAACCTATGCTCGTGAACGGGCGCCTTCTGCTGGAGCAGGTCGGCTCGCTCATCGCGCGTGTGAGCCGATCCAGTAAGGTTAATGTAATAAAACATATATTGTGTATATATAGATATTAGACACAACTACCTTTGTGAAAAAAAAAATGCGGTTAATGTAGCACGTAAGATTGTTGTAACAATTAATTTTGACTGTAAATTAACTCGTCGAGTACCGGTTTTATAGACACAATTAAAGAACAATAGGTCGCGGTCACCGGTGACCGCTTGGTGTTTGACAGTTTAAAAGAAAATGTAATGGAATGACAAGCGGACAAGAGTCCGTGGAGAATAAAAAATGTAATATAAAAAAATATACTTAAATACTTAACCTACCAGTCTTATAACATAACATTAATCTATTACAATACCTAAATGAGGATCATACTAAAACGGTCACGAGATCAAAGATGCACTAAGATATCAAGGTGAAATTGTCAAGATGGTAGTGGCTTTTGTGTATAAAAAATAGCCTACGTGTACACTCCAGGCTACGATCTATCATTACATTTTCTAATTTATCTTAAAAGTGAAAACCCTTTATAGAGTGCCTTCGGAATACCATATTCCACCTGACTAAAAAGATTTTAGTTAAAAGTATTTGTAGGTAAAATGAATTTGAAGTACTTACATAACATCATAACATGACGCCTTTTATCCCGAAGAGGTAAGCAGAGGTGCACATTGTGCCACTGTACAATGTAACACCCACTTTTCTACTACTGAGAATTTTTAAAAACCCCAGTAATACTTTACGCGACCCGGGAATCGAACCGAAGAATCGAAGTACTTACAATAAGTAATACAAATTTATTGAAAGTGAAAAATGAAAAAAAAATATGACGGTCGCTGTTTTTTTTCTTTATTAAAATATAACAAGAATCTTTAAATCTAAGGGGATTATGTCAAACTTGTCGTGACCATGAGAATTATTAGAGAAATGTTAGGATCTGTCCAAACTACATACAAACTCATTGATCTTGACAGCACCGTCACAGTATAGTTTGGACAGAATGGACTGAAAGGCACTTATTTCTGCAGCATTAATGTTCAAATTATTGAATTAATATTTCCCTCTCTCTCTTCTATATCAGACTCATTCCAGTAACAAGTGTTGGATATCTTCAACAATTTTGCATCACAGTTTGGACTGCTTATTTTTCTAATTAGGAAACCGAACTTATTGAAACGAATGTACCCAGTTAATCTATGCACAGTTACAATATATTTTCTACTTATTCTAATGTCAGCAAACCAGTGTCTTTAGCCAAACGCCACTTTAGCGTTTGTCTACCGAGAGAGTAGAAAACTACTGTATGAGAATGACACTGACAAGTGTCAAAATTTACATGAATTCCATATAATTTAGTTTTCTATTCTACATGTAGACAAGCGCTAAATGGCATTTGGCTATATCTGTACGATATTTTTAGACGTTATTTGAGAAAAATCAAAATTAAAGCTAATGAACACCAGAATAAGGCTGACATTTCTAAAATGGATGCGTTGGACATCGCTAGAGTTAGTTCACAATGTTCGTGACATTCCATTTGCCGCGAAAATGTTGTTAGGACGAGAACAGACATGATTATAAAGTTAGACGCTAATTAGATTTAAACTAGTCTAGCTTGATGTTTTAGACAAGTTTTTGTATCTGTAATGAAGAGATGTTGTAGCTTTAAAATTCTTTAGTAGTCTGATTTAGCAGTTGTCATTTCAATTTCTAAGGAAGGATTTTCTTAAACTTAAAGGATTGAAATAATAGTTAGTTTAAGGCAAAATATTAACCCTTTATGTAGTAGAAAACTGGAATCCCCAGGGAAACTTGAAGCGTGGCCATCCCTGGAAAACCTGGAGGCGTATTGACCACAGTACGCCGCCAGGTTTGCTGGGTTTGCCACCAAGCAGAAGCAGTGGGCATCGGAATGACGTGGAGCGAGATGAAGCGTGAAGCTCAAGACCGATCGAGATGGAGGACCTCTTCGAATGCCCTCTAGGGGACATAGGAACTTGAAATCAAGTCCAGTCACAGTAGAAAAAAATCACATTTTATATTTTCACCAAAATAAGAATGAAATATATTTATTTTCCAGTTATAAATCAAAATGTTTAGTGGATCACGCCTTTATCGAACTATCTAGCGCTCTAAACGAGTTGAATTATTAACGCACCAATTGAAATCAAATTAAGCGTTTCAATGGACCCCAATTTGCCTGATTTTAACTCCCACTCGATGGGAACATTACTGATTGAGCTAGGAATAAAAATTTAGGAGGCGCTAGTAAATAACAAACACGAGGTTGATTTTTGAAAGTGATTCAACTTTTGGGAAAATTCACACAGTATGATACAACCTCTGATTATGATGAATAAATAAAGTACAGTGGACCAGGTTAACATACTCTTTTCTGTCATTTTTGTTATTAGATATTTATCTCTATTATTTAGATAGGAAGTTGAAAGTTCAATAGCAAAAATTTATACATTGGAGTAGGTTGGTGCGGTGACTGTACCTAGGTAGTCTGGATCCTGGTTGTATTTTGTATAAAATGTATTTGTATAGAAACCTACCTATTTTTAAGACATGATATATAATATACTAAAAACAACCCTATAAAAATGTGCACTCACCTCGTCAACTCATGACGGATAGGAAAGGAATATGGGGATGGATAGGCAAAGAGACTATTCTTTGCCAATTGCTACAATTCTTATATACTTCTTTCCTTTCCTTAAAGTCATCACTCTTTTCATGCATGCTCGTCGGTTAAGGTTACTTTAAATTTGGCCCTACTTTAATATATCGCCAATTTGGTCGATAAAACAGATACGTTGTTAGTTACACAATAAATACAATAACAAAAAGAAATTTGTAAATTCCTTAATTTAACCAATTTCGTATTGGATATTAATATAAAATGTCGGTCGTTTGTCATATAATTGTCGTTTTTGAACACATAAGAAATGGCTTTAGGCTATACCAATTTAAGGCCTTCAATAGTACATACACACCTAATGGTCCTCAGAGCTGATGAAAGAAAACCTCTTTTTATCGAACAAGTTGCTACATTTCTCTTAATGCGGTTGGGTATAGGAATTAAATAAAAGTCGTAATACCTTTTTTCTTACTTTAGGTTTTAATATTAAGTGCTTTCAGTAACTGGGTATAAGATACAGACGGGGTTATTTTTTATGTCAGACCATATATATATTAATTACTTTTAAAGATTTTCTGATTTGTAAGTCCAAAAAAAAACAATAAACAGTAGCACATTTTATTTCTCAAACATAGATTAAATACTATCTAAAATTGTTTTAAATTTTGTTTTTCGTATTTATTGACTGTGTATTATGTTTGTTTTTTTGACGTCTTATTTTGTGTTCAAACCTTTTTTATAATTAGCCTTTTTCCTGGGAAGATTAAAAAAAAATCCGCTAGGGGCAGCACCGGTGGGGGTTTTTTTTTTTTTAAGGGGGGAAAATCATCGAATGACTGTTCCCGCCTGGGTGAGGCGAAAGGGAGTGTCAGACTCTTACTGACTAAAAACCACCCCGTTCCTTCTCCTGCACGTCGAGCCGGAGCCCCGGTTACCCGTTAGGTTCTCCGCGACACCGGTGGGGGGGTACATATGTTTTGAATTCTCTATTGACAACAACGTCAAACGTGTAGAATTAAAATGGAATTAACTGAAGATGATGTACCTGGAGCGAAATTAAAATTTGCAAAAGTGCAAGATCATCTTGTCCGGGACTTGAAACGATGGCTTGCATGTCGTGGCTTAACCGTATCAGGTAATAAAAATGTTCTGGTCGAGAGGTTAGTTGGTTCATAAATTCTCTTGTGTATGTATTGTTGAAAATTTTATTATTTTTAATAAATTGTGTTGTTTTATTTTTTTTGGTATATTTAAGAATTGAAGAGTGCATTGCAAATGGTAATGATAAAAAAAATTTTGTTTTTTACACCATTTGCTTGTACCGACTTTCAGACGTACAATTTGCGAATGCGCAATGTTTTGTAGGCATGACTATTTTTTTAAAAAAATTTTTTATCACAATATTAATTTATTCTGATAATAATAAGACGTACGTTTGACGTTGTTGTCAATAGAGAATTCAAAATATATGTACCCCCCCACCGGTGCTGCCCCTAGCGGATTTTTTTTTAATCTTCCCAGGAAAAAGGCTAATTGCTACATGATTCCTGGTGATACATAAAATGAAGTATAAATTCCTTCTTTTCTATTCTATTCTTTCTTCTTTTCATTGCTTCTTCTATATCATTTTAGGGGGTTTCAAATACTTATAGATTCCATGCATGTTATCTTTCAAGTATTCTGGCCATCTAATCTGGGTGGGGTCACATTGGAACTCCTCCCTGTCTTCGAGAGACAGTGAGGAGTGCAGCTCTCTCGTCCTGTCAGATCTCATGACGAATATATTCGAGGTGAAGTACTCATAAGCGTTTCGAACGGCGATAGCATGTGATACTACTTTGAGGTACCTGAAAATTATAGTATATGTTATAATTTTGTTGCAATGGTCGCTATTTCTACTTCTCTCATGGTTATAAGAGCTGTTTTACTTTAGCAGTGCAGAAAGCACGTAAAACTGTTGGTTCTGCGCCATTATCTCTCTCTAGTCATGTCGGTCTGCCCCTCTGCCCTCCCATCGTACAGAGAGTAAGGAAACAGTGCATTTGTGTTTGCGAACGACTTGTGCACTATAATATCTCCTGCGTAGTGGGCTAGTCTAATTAGACTTGCCATCATACTCGAAACCGATTGGGTGGTCTATTATTATTAAGAACTGAATACACGTTTGAGAGAGAGCGCAACAGTACTCTCTGACAAATACCCTAAACTCAGCTCACCAAGTTTGCTTGTGGTGATTATGATATACCCAATAGGGTAGATGCCTAATTTTTATTTTAATGTCCGTCTGGAATATTATTTCAAATCATTAGACACGTATTTTATATTTTCTTACAGAGACGAATACTTTTTACGATATATATGATTTGAAATGTCGCGTGACGTCACTTCTATGTACATTTTATACGTAGCTTTATATATAACTTTGATTCGTATTATCTAAGTATTGTTTTATTATACGACAAAATAAAGAAATACGTGTCTAATATTTTTTAATTACCTAACTTACGGACTAATTAGATTTTTTATTTTCATACCCTGTCATCATCCCAATTATGTAGAGGATGCCAATATTATAGCCATGGACTTTCTTCTGCTATTGATAATTTTTATAGTTAAAATTACTCTAATACTTACTTAGGGTCTTTGCCTTTAAGTTTCAACCATAAGTCAGCTATAACAGCAGGAGTTATTTGTAGGAAAAAGGTTCCCAGTTGCAGACCCAGTTTTGAATTCACATATGTCAAACTTAAATACGGAAACTTATCTGAAAAGAGAAGAAAACATAGTAAGAAATGCAAGAGCAAAAGTTTTGACGAAACTAGTCTAAAATGCTTTTATCGAAACGTCAAAAACGATATTGTTCTATGAATTTATTTTGTACGAAAAACTAACTTATGACGTCATCATATTTTCGAGTCAAATAGCACACTTATTTCTGAAAAAAATGCTAGAATAAATCGAAATAAAATATATAGTCAAATTGTCTTAAACCTCCGGGCCACCATGACTAACGATAGTTATTATATTTATGTATAAGTCAGTATAATTAACCTTTGGCACTCTTTCGTAGTATATCTGTGTTTGTAGATAATATTATTATAATTCTACTTCGTTGGCCGAGTGGTGGCTGGGTAAGGTGTCTCGATTACTAGGTTTAAAAAAAACTCATCGGTAGCACGGAGTCTGGAAATGTGTCCGGTATATGACAATAGGCTCACCCCCTATTACATAGAACTCATAACATAAATAGTTAAAAGTGGGTGTTATATTGTATAGTGGCATTAAGTGCCGTAATGAGCACTTCTGCCTACATTACTCAATGTTATATTATGTTAATATATTGCTTACTTTTCCCAGACAATGTCTTTTCCTCCTTCATTTTCTTATAGATTGTATCCCAATTTACTGGGTTATCTGATGATGATGTGCTGTTAAACACTTGTACTTCATTGGATCTGCAACACATAATGTAGATACTTATGACTGCATGCACGGTTGGCGCGGTGGCTGGGCAACTGGCTGCCATGCAACGTGTCCACAAATTGTTGTTTCTGGTCTGTGTGTCATGTGTATGTAAACTTGTATGTTTGTAAATGTACCCACGATATAGGAGAAAATCCTAGTGTGGGGTAACGTAAAAAGAAAAAGACTTTGACTTTGACCATGACTGTAACTGTGACTGTGACTTTAACTTTGACGTTGATTTTGGCTTTTACTTTTAGTTTGACTTTGACTTCATCTTTAATAAACAACTTTTATTCATAATTCAAAAATGCAAATATATCATAAAACTTCGACTTTGACTTTGACTTTTATATAATATCTCTTTCTCTATCGCTATCTCTTCTTTATATCTGCAGCTTCGGTGTAACGTGGGTAATGGAAAAAATATTGTTTTATTTAGCTTTAATATACACAAAAACAACTAATGGCACATAAGGTAGACAAGTATCACTGTCCTACTTTATATAAGATACTTTAAAACTATTGACTAAAATGCGAGTGAATAGGTTGCTTATGGGACGACGTGCACGGAGTACTTATCGGAGTGCTTATCGGAGACCGCATTACCGCTTACCACCAGGCGAAGTAGTGGTCAAACGTCAGTCCATCAAATATAAAAAAAATTGCACGCAAAAATTTCATATTACCTACTTATAAAATTGATCAGTTTTGACTAAAATACAGACAATCAAATAGCTAAACTTACTCTTTAGCTCTCATAGCTGATATGATACTCAAATTAGAAACGTAGTCCACTGGTGTAAAGTCTATAATATTGTTTCCTTTACCATGCATAACCCTGATGGCACCTTCGTTTACATAAAACAAAATGCCACTAGCTCCAAACCAGTTATCCAGCCAGCCTTTTACTGGTCCATCTTTCATTGAAGTCACTGGAAACAATAATTAACTTTTTTTTAATTGTAACTTTCGTGAGACATACTAAATGAATTATTATAAAATTTAAATACGCGCGACAGTCACCGCGTCGCGGGTCGCGAAATGCTGCTCATGAATATGAGCCTCCAGCATGGCTTGAAACTAGACGAGTTCTTCGTCAAATTACTACGTGAGTAAACCGAAAACATAATAATTTATTTAATAATTAACTTTATTAGAAGTTTACATTAAAAATTTCATGAGCTTTAGATGCTGTAGATGCCACTCAGTAGATCGGCGACAGTCGCCAAGTCGCGTGTCGCGGAATGCTGCTCATGATTATGAGCCTCTAGCATGGCTTGAAACTAGTCAAGTAGCTCATCAATCAGCTACCTAACTCACGTAACTGTTTGATAAGCTACCTAACTGACTCGTTGGCCGAGTGGTCGCGAGTGCGACTGCCGGGCAAGGGGTCTCGGGTTCGATTCCCGGGTCGGGCAAAGTATTACTGGGTTTTTAAAAATCTCAGTAGTATCACGGAGTCTGAAAATGTGCCCGGTATATGGCAATAAGCTCACCCCCTATTACATAGGTCTCATAACATAAATAGTGAAAAGTGGGTGTTACATTTTATAGTGGCATTAAGTGCCGAAATGTGCACCTCTGCATACCACTCCGGGGATAAAAAGGGGTGATGTTAAAAAAAAGTTAGTAAAATCGTTTTTTCTTTAGCATCTTAGGATTTAATAAGTAGTAAGTCCAGGCCGTCATAGACCTAGCTGTAATGTATATTAAGTACTTATAGCATAGCAAGCTATCAGCTCCTCACCGTGATGTTTAAAAGCTTAACCTAAGCCTTCCTGGATAAAAACTTATATAATTATTCAATTCGGACATATAGTTCTATAGATTGAATTTGGCGTTGAGACAAATAAACAAACTTATAAGATTTATAAATATTAGTAGGATAAGCTAGCCTATTCGCGTCCACCCACCAATGTCCTTTTTACTGATCGCCATCGATGTAAAATACGGAAAACATATAAGATCAAACAGATATGTACCACTGTTAATATGTCAAAGTCAAAGTTAAAGCAAGAAACTCCATCGTTACTATTTTATAAAAATATTTTTTTATTATGCTAGTTTTGCTTTCAAGAACGGAAATCATGGACACGAATTGGTGGGTAGACGTGAACAGGGTAAGTACCATAGATTAATTATAAATCATTAAGGTATATATATTAATTCTTAAAAATAATATATTCACCTGCAGAAGGTCTGATGATGACAGTGGGTACTTTCCCATGATTTTTTGCAATATAGGCTTCCGATAGTGATTTAGCGAACGCATACGTGCCGAAATGACTACCTGAGAAAAGAATAAGAATTAAAAATGTAATCAGTGCTTTAACACAAGAAAGGCCACAATTCTAAACTTGTTTTGTAACTTTTTTTACCGAGTTGAAAAAAAAGAGGAGGTACCTACTATGTTCGGCTTAAGTTGGTCAAAAATTAATGTTATTTTGATTATTTTTTTCATATTTTATTGTATTGAACAGTCGAAATATTTTTTTTTTTGGTTAAGGAAAGTACCAAATTTAATTCGCATTTATTGTGATACGTTGCATTCCTATTCGTTGATGAATATTCCTGATAAGAATTTTAAAACATACTAACAGTATTATTACGTACGGTGACCAGGAAGCCAACCTATTCTTGTCTTTCAAATTCCTGTATAACATATTCAACTTTATTTTATTGACATTAAAGTCGCAAATCTAACAGAGGCCTTAGTACGAGTTTGATTTACGTTTAAAGTATTCGAAACGAGTATGCCTTCGGCGCTCTGATTGGTTAGTTCATTCGAGCCGGCCAATCAGAGCGCAGCACGCGTAGACTCGTAGACAGATCTGCTGACCATCTTACGTGTTGGTACTTACCTATAAACTTTTTGACTTCATCATTATCATGTCCATGTTCTTCGATGAATTTGTAAACATCTTCTACTTTAGCTGGTGATGGGTATGTAGTCTCTACAAGTACTTTAGCACTACCTTGAGCGTACGCTGTAGACACGAAGACGAAAGCCTAGTAAACAAAAAAAATACAATGCAGAGGTGGATTAAGAGAAGGACTGGGATCCCGTCTCCTCCTTATGCGAAGCAGTCATGCTAGCTAAGGAGGAGGCGGGGCGCGTGAGGCAGCAAAGCGCTACCTCCACACAACCCAGCCGTCGCGAAATACACTCCGGGCATTGGGAATCGCTGGACGATCTGTGGACCGCGAGCATGGGTAACTCGACGCCTGGTCAGAACCAGACCTGAGCGTACGGCGCGTCGCATTCCTTAAAGACCCATCAGACCACCACGGATGGAGCCCAATAGGGCTGATGTTCATACGGAGCCGCGGAGAACGGTTACCGGAGCTCCGGTTCGAAGTGCTAGAATAGGAACAACGCATTTTATTGTATTCGTAAATGACGTCATGTCGTGATGTTTTTATTCAATACTAGCTTCTGTTCTCGACTTCGTACGCGCAATCCCATTTTCTCCTGTCCACGTAGGATATTCAAGATTTTTTTCTGTTATACGAACCTTATCCTGACAAAAATAAACACAACAAAAAATAGTGACATCGGTCCAGCCGTTCACGCGTGATGGCGTGACCAAGGTACATTAGGGATGCATTTTTTTTTCATAATATAGATTATCGATGTATGCTTTTTGTTCTTTTTTATCTAATGGTTATTTTTATTTACCTCAATATTCTTCATTCGCTGACTGAGCTCCAGCATTTGCCTTGTACCTTCGAAATTGATGTTCATGGACACTGGCAACGGCTCATGAAATCTAACTGTTGCCCCTGCATGGTATACTATTGAAACCTGAAATTAATATAAACTGATATTAAAAATGGGAAAGCTAGTTAGTTTTTCGTCTTTATGCGTTCTATCTAACCAATCTTCTTGAAATTTCACGCGGACAAATCCGTAGGCAAAGGATAGTACACTAAAAATATTTTTTTATAATTTAATGTTTAATGTACCTACATAATTTGATAAAATAATAGCCAAAAAACAATTATATACGAGGGCGGGTCAATAAGTCCGTGACTTTTTAAATGAAACACAATTTTTTAGATAAAATGTTATTTTATTTTTCAACGTAGTCTCCTTTGAGCTCTATACACTTAGCCTAAAGTTTCTCCAATTTTTTAATCCCTTCCAAAAAATATGTTTTGTCGAGGTCTTTAAAATAGGCATTTGTTTGTGAGATGACTTCGTCGTTGGAGGCAAATCTCTTTCCACCGAGCCATTTCTTTAAGTTTGGGAACAAGAAGTAGTCACAAGGGGCTAGATCGAGAGAATAGGCTGAATGAGGGAGCAATTCGTAGCCAAATTCATGGATTTTTGCCATAGAAACTGCACATGTGTGCACCCGTGCATTGTCCTGATGGAAAAGGACTTTTTTCTTGGGCAAGTACGGTCGCTTTTCTTTCAATGCCTAATCGAATCGACCCAATAAGTTGCTGTAATATTTGCCATTGATTGTTTTTCCATTTTGAAGGTAGTCAATGTGGATAACACCGCGTGCATCCCAAAAAACAGCCGCCATGACTTTATTGGCTGACAAACCCACCTTTGCCTTCTTTGGCGCCGATTCACCCCGAGAAACCCACTGTTTTGACTGCTGTTTGGTCTCCGGTGTGTTGTGGTGGATTCACGGTTCGTCCACGGTTACGAATCGGCGCAAAAACTCGTTCATATTGCGATTAAACAACGCCAAACATTCCTGTGAAATTGTCACACGCTTGCGTTTGTGGTCGATTGTGAGCAAACGCGGCACCTATCTTGCGGAGAGCTTTCTCATACCCAAATAATCGTTTAAAATTGAAACCACTGAGCCATGCGAGATGCCTATGGCTTCCACAATCTCTCTCACTTTTAATCGCCGATCGGCTAAAACCATATCGTGCATTTTTTCAGCTATTTCAGATGTGGAGACCTCAACTGGGCCTCCAGAACGTTCGGCATCTTCCGTGCTGGTACGGCCACATCGGAATTCAGTAAACCACTTTTTTACCATGGAAATGAATGGTGCAGAGTCCCCATAATATTTATCAATCATAGCCTTGGTTTTCGTAATGGATTTTTTCCGCAAAAAATAATGCTTAATGAGCACACGAAATTCACTTTTTTCCATTTTCTTCTCAGTCAACGCGGTAGTCTGATATTAACGACTGTCAAAAACAAACTAAATGTCACAGCTTGTTCAATTTTTGGCAGGAGTCATCTGACAGATGACTGTTGACGGGAGCAGTGTTGCCATTTCAATTAAGAGGCGGAAAAATCAAAAAGTCACGGACTTATTGACCCGCCCTGGTAAGTAATATAGCTTTATGTTTAAATTACATAAAATATATAGGTATTAATACATATATAAGCAAAGCATTTACTGATACAATAATTGTGGCGAGTCATGCTTTGGCATCAATAGGTCGGCTCAACCGGACTGATACCACGGCCTGATAGAAAACAGACCTGAAACAACGCTTGCATCGTATTTCGTCGTGTGAATGAGGTTACTGGAGACCCAACTGTTTCTTCGCGATGTTTTCCTTCACCATTTGTCAGTGGTGTCTAAATAATCTTAGAAAGTACATATTACTTGGAAAAGTCACATTGGTACTTGCCGTTGGTAGGTTTCGGACCCGCACTCTCATGCCTGAGAAACGGGCGTCTTGAACCTCGTTCTGAAGATTGAATAACGAAGAAGAAAATCTATCTTAGAAAACTATTGAAGTAAAAACTAACCTTATTAATGAGAGTCTGTTCATCACTAGGCGATATCCCTAATTTCGGTAAGCTAAGGTCACCAGGCACAAGAACAACTTTCTTCAAAAAATCAGGGTTGCTACTTTTCAACCTTTTGAAGAGCTGTAAATATAAACAAGTTATAAAAACTGAAAAGAAATGAGCATAAAGTTACTGTTACATATGCTAACTTCAAGCACGAAAGCATTTTTCAATTGAGCACTTGTCACTTAATAGCATGTGCACTTTAAGTGTGGGGAGCCATGCTTCGGGACGAATAGGCCGGCTCGACCGGAGTGATACCACGGTCTCACAGAAAACCGACGTGAAACAACCCTTGCGTTGTGTTTTGCCATGTGAGTGAGATTACCGGGGGCCCAACTACCCCTTCCCTAGTCTCTCCAATCCCCGAATCCTTTACAATCCTCAAATTCCAAATTTCGAAAAGGCCGGTAACGCTCTTGTAAAACCTTGGTGTTTCTGGTGTCCATGGGTGACGCCGATTGCTTACCATCAGGTGATCCGTCTGCTCGTTTACCGGCTTAAGCCATAAAAAAGTGTTTGCTCAAAATTAGCACGGAAAGAAGCAATTCATCGCTCCTTTCTGGCATATTATTTGGAAGTCGAATGACGTTCGATTATTGATATTTTTTTAATAGATCTCAGTAGAACGCCTTTTAGCAGGCTATTTTAGAGCATGCGTAACAAAATACTCAATGTAACTTAGCAGTTATGCCATGTAGGTAAGTAATATTTTTATGATACCCCAAGCGTATCCCACCAATTTTCGGTTGTTTGTATGTAGTTATTAACAATATTATCTTTAGTTTAGGAAATATATTACATTGTTTATAACTACATAAGTATTTACAACTTAAAATTAACTACGACTAAACTATTAAATAAAATTAAAGTAAAAAAAAGGAAATAACAAAAATTATACCCTCAGTTCAGAGTTGTTTGTATCTTATATTATTATCTCTTTACACATTATCTAGTCAGCTAATCTTTTTGAAATATGACTTACCTACTTATATTTGAGAATACGAAAAAACGAAAGACAGATTAATTAATTATTCATGTAGTCAAAGTTGCTAGTAAAATCTAGTTTTATTATAAAATAAAACTCACCGGGTTATCAAACAAATCTGTAATTCTTTTATCAGCACTTATACCTTTCTTCTCTCTGATTAATAAATATAGTTTGTCTAATTTTGGGCACGAGTATAATAGTTTTTCGATGTAGACCTGAAACAAGTCATAAGCCAATTTAATATAAATTACACAAGACATTGATTTATTTACTAACATAACATAACATAACATCACGCCTTTTATCCCCGAAGTGGTAGGCATATGTGTACAACCACCCACTTTTCACTATTTATGTTATGAGTCCCATGTAATAGGGGGTGAGCCTATTGCCGTATACCGGGCACAATTCCAGACTCCGTGCTACTACTGAGAATTTTTTAAAAACCTAGTAATAGTTTGCCCGACCCGGGAATCGAAACCGAGACCCCTTGCCCGGCAGTTGCACTTGCGACCACTTGGCTAACGAGGCAGTCAGAGATCTTTTTACTAGTGATCATACTTCACATTAAATTTTTGGCGTTGAATTTCTTAGAAATAGCACAAAATGATATCAAAAACAAAATATTTAATGGCTGAAATGATAAGCAAACTTAATGTTTGCTGTATGTTGCTTTTTTTACATTTACGTGTGAGACTATTCGGATGGCACAGTGGTTGGGTGACCAGCTGCTGTGCATCGTGTCACGGATAAGTGTCCGATTCGCGTGTCAGCCAAAAAGTGAAAATGGCATTTTTTGAGCAGAATGACATGACCATTATCAGCCCCAAGTCAAGAAGGTTTAAACACCGCCGGGTGTTGGAAATGGATGGATGTGCGTGAAAAGGATTTTGATCAACATCACTACCAATAAAAAAACTGACCAATGATATATTTTAACGTTAACTAACCTTTCCCAGAAATCCAGTGCTCCCTGTGATGAACACAGACTTCCCTGAATAAAAGTCTGCCACTGACTGATATTTGTCCTTTGAAATGACACTGAAAAATATCAACCTTATTTAGTCCAAAAATATTTTTAGGGCCGATCAGTCAATTCTTGACTGTAGAATAAAAAAAATTGACATTTGACAGTTTTTAGTATGGAAGAATTGACAAATAATCGAAGTTATTTCTCAGTTAAAATTTATTTGATCATTGAAAAAATGGCCCTTAATGATCTTACTAATCGTAACTCGTTATTTCGACCCCTTTGGATGATATAGCTGCTATTGCTTTCTACAACTCTCTATCTACTCAATTTACAATTGCATTATATAATGACATTAGATAGCCAGTCTACCCAGCTAAATAACATCCTGAAATGACTAATTAACATAATTAAAATTGTAATTAATAAATATTTTCAAAATCCCGACCGCAACATAACTATTGCCAGATTTTTTGTTCTACGATTGTTCAGTCGGCCAAGTTATTTTGTATGCAGGGAAGTTATAAATATTGATTTACTACAGAGACAGTAAACTATTGTTTGGATATTAACTTCGGCCGACCAAAGGTTACTGTACATTTGGCTTCGGTAAAATGCATACAATTTAGTATAAATGCGTATTTGAACTTGTACATATGTTTGTAAACGTACTCACGACACAGGAGAAAAACCTAGTGTCGTACAATGAAAATTAAAAAAAATCTAATTATAATAATTAAGTTAATCGAATCTGTACCTACGGACCTAGACAGAAGATATACATTAGAAGTGAAAACATTAAGGTTTTAAATTGTAAGTGGTATTGACATAAAAACACGAACACAAAAGAACTATGATTTGAATACACCATATCTTCGTTGCATTCATCAGAGCGTGTAGATATAATGCAATGCCAAATTACTCTATAAAAAAATAATAATCCTCACTAAAACCTTTGATTACACACCTCGATGCACTAGAATATCCTCGAGTAGCTTTAGCGATCACTATTTTATTAAACATCGCACAATTTCTTCCCATCCAACTTTGCGCTCCATACATTTTACATAAATTAAACATAATTTTATTTATTTTAAAATGTACCTATATTATTATATAGGTAAAAGTATAAAAATTATATTATAATAAAAGTATACTGATGTTTTACGTTTCTGAATAAAATTCATAACAAGTAAAAGACAAGCGTCTGCTTCTTTATATAAAGTTTTTTTTATACGTTTTTTATAAGAATGATGTTGCGTGCTGATACGAATTGTATTAATTAAGTTTTTACTGACGACACGCTTCATGTTGCAGTCAAAATTATTTATAACATCTTGGCTACCACTTTTGTGTTTTATATTAATTTCTTATTAGAAAATAAATAGTACCTATGTTTTTTTTTATGGCATAGGTAAGCAGGTAAACAAGCAGACGGATCACCTGATGGTAAGCAATCGACGTCGCCCATGGACACCTGGAACACCAGAAGCGTTACAAGTGCGTTGCCGGCCTTTTGGGTATTGGGAGTTTGAGGATCATTGGGGATTCAGGGATTGATGAGATTGGGGAAGGGGGGGGGAGGTAATTGGGCCTCCGGTAACCTCACAGGTAAAGAGGAAAAATCATCGAATGACTGCTCCCGCCTGGACGAGGCGGGAGGGAGTATCAGACTCTTACTGACTAAAAACCACCCCATTCCTTCTCCAGCACGTCGAGCCGGAGCCCCGGTTACCCGTTAGGTTCTCCGCGACATCTATATGCTCCTAAAAACCGACTAATGTTAGTACTTCATTTTTACATGGTAGGTACTCTTTAAATGACGTCCAGTTTGAGGTGACTTGCGTTCAGCGGCTATCTCCAACCTTTGTTAGGTCACAGGGCTCACCGCATTTTCCGATAGACATATTCATCAAATATTATCAGTCTTTAATTTAACCTCATGTATAAATATTTCTAAATTTCTTTTTTTAAAACTGGTAAAAGATAAAATTGGGTAATGTATTTACAATATCAAGGTTTGACTTGTGACGTCATTATCAATACAAATGACGTTCAATTTTAACTTAATTGCGACATCCAGTGTCATATCACTGGTTAAATTGTTCCCAGTTACTGCTCAAACTGGTATAGGCAGTAACGCGTTGCTTGTATACACGATTTGCATATAATTTAGACTTCAAACATAGGAGTTATGTTTCTGCCACCGACAGAGGGTGCAAATGAAAACTATAATCATTAAACTAAGTTTATTATAATTAAAATTACATGGTAACTCCTAAAATCTAACTAACCTAAGAGCGAATGCGTTCGATGTTAGAACAACACTACTTTCTTATCTTAAAATTCTTTATTATAAAATTAGTATGAAGGTTTTATTGAGGTTAAATCTAGTGGGGTGACCGATGATGCAGTAATTCGTAGCTGGGCACAAGGCGACGACAAGAGGAGACGACTCAGGCGTTCGAATCTTGCAATACTCCGTAGAACCTTCGTTGCATCAAAGTAGGTGTAGTGTACTGATTCAGCAGATCTGGGCCTGGTGACACGGCGTTGATCACGGTGTAGGTACATGTCTCGGCACCGATACGTAACATAGGTATTTCCGCGCGCATCAAAGAGTCAATAGATCATCACAGATAGGGCCCAGTAAGGCTGATGCTCGGCCTAGGGCTACGGACAACCTAACCGGTTACCGAGACTCCGGTTATAAATAAATAGGATTAGGAACGGGGTGGTTTTTAGTCAGTAAGAGCTTGACATTCCTAAAACTTCAGCTAGCCATCGACAGATCTATTCTTCTACCATGAGATGCCCTTTAAATAATGACGTGTTTTGTTTGTGACCTCCAGGATGAATGCCAACCCTTATGGTGGTTATGGTAGAGTCACTCTTAGGAAACATAGCAGTAGTTTTACTTCTGTATGAGGATCATTATCGACCGCCACTTTGGCAAACAACGCTAGCCAGGGTCAATTTAGGACTGATACTATCTATTAGAATTATCTTTATTAAGAACTAGCTACTTCCGCGCGGTTTCACACGCTCTGCTCAGCTTCTTTTGGTCGTAGCGTGATGTTTTATAGCCTATAGCTATCCTCGATAAATGCACTATTCAACACAAAAAGTATTATTTAAATTAGACCTGTAGTTACGGAGATTAGCGCGTTCAAACAAACAAATAATAAAACAAACTCTTCCGCTTTATATAATAGTAAGGTATAAGATTAGCCTCTGTAAGCGGCTTAGCCCGCGTTTTTGTGATTAAAAACTAGCTTATATGTTATCCCAGAGCATAATCTACCTCTATTCCAAATTTCCTCCCGATCTCTACAGCCATTTTGACGTAATTAGTAGGACGTATTAGAAAGGAATACATTTGCTAACATGGTTAACGGTCACAGGTTTATTTCCGTAATGGCACAATTATTTTTTTTAAAGTAAAACGTTGCCCCACACTATGATTTTGTCGTGGGTGCGTTTACAAACATACAATATCACATACACATGACACCCAGACCCGGAACAACAATCGGTGGATCACACAAAGAGTTGTTCCGTGCGGGAATCGAACCCGCGACACGTTGCGCGGCAGCCAGTTGCCCAGCCTCCGCGCCATTTGTGATACACTAATTGTTATTTAGGGTCTCTCTTTAATAATTTATGATAATTTTTATGAAAAAAGATTTTTTTTTTAAGTAAGTATATAATAAATGTGAGTGCATATATAAAGTTCAGTTATATTAAACATTGGACAGACGTTTTGTCTACGACATGACTACAATAATTAATTATCATACAATAAGAGAGTCCTCAGTCGTAAAGATAACTTTTATAGTTCTGGAAAAAATATTGAGTCTGCACGTGTCATGAGTACCTGATAATAAATTCTAAATACTGTCGCAGTGCAATCTTAAAATGGATTCCCAGGTTGAGCTTATAACGTATCGTATGACTGCATTGCTAGACTATATGAACCTCCTCCACAAAATAGGGTTTAGTAGAATCTCTAACCTTGACAGCTGGGTTGGAAATCGCAGGTAAAAAAAATGTTTTTCAGCCGGCCGGTCCGTACCAAATGTCCAATTCCGTGGTCGTATCCTATGTCGAGCCAAATTCGGACCTACCAACGTCTAATTCGGATGAGAAGCTACCTCAAAATAGTTTTATTAGTAAAATTTCTAAAATGCAGTCTGAGGTACTCAAGATGTTGAACATTCTCTGGGATACCTATGCTAGGACCTATCCTTTTTTTTTTGAGGGGGAAAATCATCCAATGACTTCTCCTGCCCATGTGAGGCGACAGGGAGTGTCAGACTCTAACTGAGTAAAAACCACCCCGTTCCGACTCCTGCACTTCGAGCGGGAGCCCCGGTAACCCGTTAGGTTCTCCGCGACTCCGAATCGGCATCATCCCTATAGGGCCCCATTCGTGGTGGTCTGATGGCTCTTGGAGGCGCGCGCAACGATGATGACTTAAAGTATGTTATCTAGCTAAAAATTTATCTATGTATTGGAAAACCAATAGTTACACATGGAAAACAAATAGTGTCAAAATAACATCAGACAACCACGGTTGTCACGGATAGATAGTACATTATTCAATTAGTAAAAATACACACAATCCTTCGAGCGGGAGCCCCGGCAACCCGTTAAATCGTTCGCGGCTCCGTATCGGCATCAGATCCACTGGGATCCTAAGATAATAATATTATGGTGTGTCAGTATTTACTAACACAAATTAATTTCACAAGTTAATTATCTTATTTTTTAATGCTGCTAATTGCATTATTTGTAATGAATTAATATATGTAATTATGCATGTTGCCTATTACGAAGTTCATTGCCATTTTTTGCCAAGATAACCTCGAGACGCCTTAGTATAAGTTTTTTTATGTAATAGGAGGCAAACAAAAAGATGGATCACCTGATGCTAAGCTATCAGCGCCGCCAGTGGACACCCGCAACGACAGAGGAGTCATAGGTGCGTTGCCAGCCTTTTAAAAAGGGATACGCCCTGTTCTTAAAGGTTTAAAGTTCGTATCGGTTCAGAAATACTGCTGGCGAAAGATCATTCTACAGTTTTGCTGTGCAGAGCTGGCAGAATGTTTTAGGAGAAACCCACAGTTGCTGCCTCCCAAACTACCAATATGATCTGACAACTTTCCTGTGTTAAATCGAGATTTTTTTAATGATAGCAGTAAATACCCAAACCGCGTATCCTGGTACAAATAGCCGACTAGGTACCCTTTTTATATTAAATTACGCAATTTTTATTACCCATTGTTTTAAAACTACGAACTAATTTGTATCGTGAGAATATTATTAAACTGATGAAAAATAATTTTGTCCACAACACTTTTTTTAATTTATTCAGGTAGATACGTCAACTATTAATGGACAAGCCAGAGCCGTATTATCTTAAGCAAACAATAGGGTAAATGCCTAATTTTTATTTTTATTTCCGATTGTGTGTCTGAGTATTGTTTAAAATTAGCATATTCATTTCATGCATGCTTGTGAATCGACAGGCGTTCGATTTTTGAACATTTTTGTGCATGCTCAATAGGACGCCTTCCATCCAGCTATTTTAGAGCATTTCTTGTGTAAAAGTAGATACATTTAACCCGTCGAGCGTCCGCGTTCCTTATGATCCAACGGGTGCACTCGTGACATTTGGAGAAAGAAAGAAAGAAAGAAGATGCATTTATTTGGCCATTGGCACACGAAAACAAGGATCATTACAATATAAATAAAAAATGCAGTCAAAATAAAAACAAAACATAAATAATAGATTTAATAAAATTGATAGCAGAATGGAGCATTTTTTCTTATGATTCACCGGGTGCTCATAAGGACGCTCGAGGGGTTAATCTACCTCTGAGACAGGCCTTCCCTCTTTGAAGGTATGACGACGTTTAATTTTTAATGAAGCGAAAGAGTTGTGTAAGAATTGGCGTTCGAAAGTCTCTGCCTATGCCCATGGGAGACTGGGGTAAGGTTATGTACGTAAGACGGGTGACGTCATATACATGGCAGTTAGCTTGAGAATCGCAGTCTGGTTATAAAAAATTAAAAACATGCTACTGCTTATTACTAGTCAAAAACAACAAAAAAGGTTAGTCAATTTGTCGACTGTTTTAATAACTATTTACGAGAATAAACAGCCATTGTAAGATATAAATTATAATATGAATATTTTAAAAGATTTCTTTCTTTTTTGTTTCCGAATATAAGTACGTAGATATTATTTTGTAAGTTCTTACACAAAGGAGACGTAAGTAGGTAACGAGAATTCAATAAGTAATAATGAAACCAATTTTGATTTTCTGAACAAACTACATAGTTATTTTTCGCGGTTTCGCTTGCACGACAGAGAAATGAATACTTATTGTAAATTTTGAATATTGCATATTGAACGTCAATCTGTTTATAGATTTATGAAAATAACGATGAAAAATAACGAAGTACATAACATTTATTACATAGATGGCGAACCATTTATGTAAAAATAAAAAAAACCATAAATTGGGTACTTTCCTTAATCACAAATAAATGATTTCGTCTGACAATACAATAAAATATTAAAAAATAATCACACTGTCATTAATTGATTTTATGATTAACTTAATTTTAGTATATTTTCAGCATTTTTTTAAAAAATATGTATGTTGTTTGCCGCTAAAAAAACGTGACGTCACAATACACAATCTCATAGAAATTCCATAGAAAACTGTCGTTTTCGATAGTTCGAAAAAAGTATTGAATTTGACTAGTTGGCAAGTACCCAATTGAGACATTTTAAGATTGGTTCTTTAGATAAAAAAAACTTAAAAAGGTATTATATGTATAAAATATCAATTTAAAAAAATAATGTTGGTATTTATGTACAGACAGATATAATTATATGTCTTGTACATTAAATTGTCAATCGTTTGTCATATAATTGTCCTATTTAAAGATATGAAGGATGTGAAATAGCCTGCGGCTGCAGAGTTGAACGAGCCTCTAGAATAAGAACGTTGCTAAACGTTTCTGAATAGCGATGAACGAGAACCTCGTTTTTATGTGGTTTAATATTTTTCTGTATAAGCAAAGGGGCGTGAGGAGGTTCGTTCCCTCACGCGCCTTCTCCTCCTTAGCTAGCATGACTGCTTAGCAAAAGGAGGAGATGGCATCCCAGTCCCCCCCGTAGCGTACCATGATCTGAACCAGAGTCGACGCGACGCGTTGCTCAACCTACGCAAGGCACACCGGTACCGTATGCTCCACCGGAAAGCCATCTATGTCAGTGATGACACCCGGGCGTTTCCACGTATTCTATCAGAAACAGGATGCTATCGAAACTTCCATATCCCGTAACCACTTGCGTCAGGCTATAATTGAGGACACCATTGCGTCTCTAAAGGCACTCCTCAAAAAAGGAAATTACCGCTGCAATGACAGTGAGCCCAGCCCTCGGTTGTGACAATCGTTGCTGCCATTTCGCCATAACAGCAGAACGCCTTACAAAATAAAATAGCAACATTTCACATAAACGCGGAACAGCTTTCATACAATTCATCAACGTTATTTTTTCACAGGCGTTCATTCATTCGTCGTGTAAATTGTTTTGTACTTTATTACTACCCGTTGCCAGCGACTTCGTCCACGTAGAATATAAGTTTTAGGATATATTTTTTTTTGTTTCCATTATCCAAAATAAAGACTGCCTCGTTGGCCGAGTGGTCGCAAGTGCGACTGCCGGGCAAGGGGTCTCGGGTTCGATTCCCAGGTCGGGCAAAGTATTACTGGGTTTTTAAAAATTCTCAGTAGTAGCACGGAGTCTGGAATTGTGCCCGGTATACGGCAATAGGCTCAACCCCTATTACATGGGACTCATAACATAAATAGTGAAAAGTGGGTGTTACATTGTACAGTGGCATAATGTGCACCTCTGCCTACCCCTTCGGGGATAAAAGGCGTGACATTATGTTATCCAAAATAAAAAAAATAGCCTATGTTACTCGGTACTCCTTAGCACATCAGCTACCCGACAGTAAAATCCCGTCAAAATTGGTCCAATCATTTCAGAGATTTGCCAGTAAAAACAGGCAGACAGGCAAAAATGTAAAAAAATGCATATAGTAAAAAGCGGTTATTTCAATGATACAATCAGACACTCCAATTTTATTTATCTGTATAGATTAGTTATTTTATTTTATTTTAGTAAAACAACTTTCTTCAATCCTTCAGCTAGTGACACAAGATAAACAATTGTGAATTCAGACTACCGTAGACACGTAATATACTATCGAAGACGGGGACTTGTAACATCCGTATTTTGGAGAGAAAATTCTT